AGTCTGCAGAGCCATATGTAGTGTACAAAGCTAAACTTGAGCTACCCTCAAGTTTAGTGCGTTCAGAACTCAACTTGCTCAGTAACTCAAGCATACCTTTGAAGTAATACAGAAAATAATAATGAAATTGGATGGAAAGAACTTATCAAAGAAAGCACAAGTTCTCAATATGAAACTCGCTGCTAAGTTAAGTTTCATATGGAAAATGAGTGTTTAAAGTCTGCAGTAGAAAAGATTTATATTGTTACAGTTCTCTAAGTTGAGCAACTATACTGACATGTTTATGTTGTAAAGAATTGGCTGGGAAATGAAACTGTAACCTTTTTGTAGTTGTTTTTTTTATTTCAATGTCCAACTCAGCTGTGTTTTGTGCTGTGTAAAAAGACGATGTATAACAATTCTGCAAATACAATTGTGTTGTACCTTTTCTAATTGTTGAGTGTTCTTCCTACACTTTCACCTAGTGCTATCTTAAAATGCTTGATTAACGCTTGAAAAAATGTCTTTGAACTAACATCATGAAATAATGGAAAGGATTTCCACACGATTAACTAGCTGTCTTTTAGCATGAAGCATATTTGTTGAGCTAACTTGCTTTTAGTGAGTTGGACCTACTGAATCAGGTAGTGTGAAGGTACCACTGTAAAATAAGGTGGTTTCAACTAGATTCATCTTAATGAAGTAACATCAATGATTTGGTCCTAAACATTGCAGATTAGTTGGGCGGGCTGTATTGCATTACACTGGGTCACACTATAGTAACTGAGTTAAAGGAACCTTTAAAACATATGTTGAGCCAACACATTTCATTTGAATTTGAATAACCTTAATGAATGGAGTTGAGCCAACTCATTTGATTTACAATCATCCGTTGCATTACCATAATTCTGGTTAAGCCAACATATTTGGTTTAAATTAGAACAACCTTAATGAATTATGTTTTGCCAACTCATTTAATTTATATAAGAATAACCACAATATATTATGTTGAGCCAACATGTTTGATTTAGAATCGCCCATTGAATAACCATAGTAACAAGTTGAGCCAACACATTTGCTTTACATTGGAATAATCTTCATAAATTAGGTTGACCTAACACATTTGCTTTAAATAAGAGTAACACAAGTACATGGTGCTGAAATAAAGCAAAGTAATCAGGTGGAAATCCTTTCCATAATTTTTTTATGTTCATCCAATGACTTATTTTTTTCAGTGTAATGTGAGGAGTTTATCACAAATATGAGGCAGCAGTAGAATGTGACTGACCTGGGGTCCTGGAAGGTGACGGTGCACCAATGTGCCAATAACTGTAACTGATGGATGCACACGGTATCATCTGTGTTTTTTATCTTTGCTAACTGATTGCATCATTGCTGCACTGATGATGCCACCATGGATCCCAGACAAGTGGAGACATTTACATAACCATTACTTTTCTTAATTATGCTGAAGTTGGAGTGTTCCTCCTGCAGGGCTGTAATACACCAGCTCAGGAGACGATGTATGACACAGAATTTGATCAATATTTACAGCAAAATTAAACATCTACGCATACTGTAAACAATCTTTAATCAAAGTAGATACTTCAGTCCAGATATGACTTTTTAATATACAGTCATATTTAAAAAATTAGAATATGTGTTCCCTAACCTATTTAATGTTTCACTTTGTGAATAAAGTTGCCGAAATAAATGAACTTTATTAATTTATTTTTAGTCAATAACTTTGAATATTGTTCAAAAGTATAGCATAAATCATGGCATGAGCTGTCTGTGGGGATCCTTTTATTGAATTAACCATCACCAACAATTAACAATTTTCAGACAAATTAATTTCTTTGTTTCTTTTTCCTCTTCTTTTTTCTCAGCTTTTGAGCGAGAATGCTTCAGTTTCCATTCTGGACCATCGTGGTTCTTTTTATGACCCACCGGGTGAAAAACTAACTCTTTATCTGAATGTTCTTTTTCTTCTGACTGTTTCCATCTGAAGGACTTCAGTCTCTTGATTTATCGTCAATGGCTTAAGGTTTAGGATGGCTATGCAATTAAAAAGAAACTTTAGTGAAAGAAGATTTAGTTCATTCAGAGGACGGATGACTTACTGTATTGAACTACTTGAACCTGAGGTTTCCCTTTCAGACATCTGAAGTAAAAGATTCAGGTTTTAGGTAGTGAGTAATCTCATTAAATGCAGGTTAACTGCTGTAGTTAAGGTGAGATGGTTAAAATGTCCCGATTTGCTAGTTAATTGGTGCTGTATCAAAGTAAGCACCAATGATCAAAGTAAGTTTAAAGGTTTTGTTCCTCTCACTGCATGCCACCTGGGAGCTTTGTTCATGTCTGCTGCTGTGCTTGCTTTTCAGTCGAGCGTATATGATAAATTAATCAAAGATCTTGGGAAACAATAAGCAGATTTATCTTACAGTTCTGCTCTGGTGAATAATAATAGAGAGTGTGCAGCTCTGTAGTGGCATTTTCCTTTCCTTGTGTTTTGAAGATTAAACTTAGGAGATTAAGATTCATTTCGATTGATTCAGTTGTTGCTTTCTGTTACTTTTACATCTCCATATTTAAGGAAGGCAGTGAAGAGATTTCAGTTTTGTGTTAAAGCCTTGGGTATTGCCTCTCAATTTGAAAAAGAATACATGTTGATTTTTGCACGTATTTAGAAAGAGACTGAGAGAAGCTTTAGAAATAAAAATGGGTAGAATTCTGTAAAATTGAATTTTTTGTGGATTTTTTGTGGATTGCATTCCCTCCTCAAAAATATACCTGGAGTGTTAACTTGATTTTTTTGTGCTTGTTTGATTAATCTTGTCATATCCATGACAACCGTTGAGCTGTACAAAACCATCAGGTTGGACCTAGTGCTGGTTCGACCTGATGTTGAACCAGCTCTCTGAGGAGGATGTAGCTCCTCCTCAGAGTTACAGTTTCCAAGTTCCCACCTCACAAAGCAGTCCTCCCCCAGTCAGCTCCTTCAGACTAGCCAGCAGCAATTAGAAAACACCTGGTGGAGCTATATATATATATATATATATATATATATATATATATATATATATATATATATATATATATATATATATATATATATAGATATATAGATATATATAGATATATATAAGTGATATATATATGTGATATATATATATATATATATATATATATATATATATATATATATATATATATATATATATATATATATATATATATATATATATATATATATATATATATATATATATATATATATATATATATATATATATCTGCAGCTGTGTGAGGTTTCGGCTTTCCATGCCCTCCGTCTCGTGTTTTCTTCAGACTCACCTTCAGTGTCATTAGAGCCCATTTGAACTCCAGTCGCAAAGGGAGGGGAGGATTAAGGTGCTGTCACATGAAAACGGAGGCTGTCCACACTGAGAGATCACAAACTAATCCTGCATTTGAGCAGGTTGTGCTGGAAATTTCCATAATGCTCAGCAGCTCCGGATGTGCAGGGGCGAGCATCCCTTCTGGCGAGCCAGGCAAATGGTGGCGGGTACCAGTCTGTGCATGAGAGAAGCACTCCCATTTACAGCTGCTATTAATTAGCCATGACATTCCTCTAAAATCAGCAGTTTTTGGCTTTGGGACCTGGGGGCACCATCTGCACCCCTTCTGCAGTGCAAAAATGATTGGCCATGTCATGTGAACTAAACACTGAACTGATTCGGTAGATAAAGAAAAGGCACAATGATATATATATATATATATATATATATATATATATATATATATATATATATATATATATATATATATATATATAGATATATATATATAGATAGATATATAGATAGATCTATAGATATATATATAAGTGATATATATATATATATATATATATATATATATATATATATATATATATATAATATATATATATATAATATATATATATATATATATATATATATATATATATATATAGAGACGGATGACAGGCCCTAAAACATTTACTGCTTGCATTAAGGAGGGATAGGAGAAGTTGAGATAAGACCAACATTTTACTGAACTGAGCCAAAAACCAGATACAGCCAAATATTGGTATAATAACACAAGTTTGCCATATCAAAGACAAAAAACGCTCTTGAACTTGAAAGAAGAGTTATAACAACCAAAAACAATAACGACAAATACAAATAAACTCGCTCTTGAACTTGAAGAGATTTTAACAACCAAAAACAATAAGGAGAAAAGACGTATAACTATTAGCTTAACCTGAGTTGATTATTCAATGGGCTGCATCTTGGCACAAATTTGTAGGATCAGCAAGATGTTACGTTTATACCAACAGAACAACTAAATCTCTTATAATCTGGCATTGCAAGGAAGTCGGTTTCTTACTGACAGGCCTTTATCTCAACAAGCAGAAAAAGAGTCTGTTGGAGATTAAATGCTCAGCTGATCAAGTGATCCAGCTCAGTTTTTTGGTTCATCATACTCTGCAGACGTTAAACACGTTTTAATTTGATGCCTCAACGATGAGCTTGATTTACCCTGCAGGGGACTGAATCTGATAGTCCAAACAGATGAAGAGAAGCTCAGAGCATTACCAGGTACACATCACTTAGTATGTAAAGGGCATACCTACGGGATCTGCAAAGCAATTTTCCGATGTTATGATATTCCTTCCCCTCTTATCCCTTCCTTCTGCTGAAGGGGAAACAGGGCCGGTGGTTCAGCAGGGTGTGTGTGTGTGTGGGTGGGTGATATAAATAGGGCATGGTTTTATTTTTCTCTCATAAACATGTAGATTGATTAGGGTCATTTTCTGCTAGCCTGCTTCCATCCACCCAAGCCTTTCCCTCCATTAGTGATGAAAACCTAGATTTATTGCCACGTCTGTCACTTCTGCGCCATATTTCACAGGCCCACCGTGTGGCTGCTTTTATGTAGATGAGCACTGGGGGAGAAAGGCATATTAAAGGTGTGTGTCTCTGTGTCCACAGGAGCGCGTACAGGTTGCCAATGGGATTCTGTCAATCAGTCGGCTAACCCTGTCCGACACCGGAATGTACCAGTGTGTGGCTGGGAATAAGCACGGCGAGGTCTACTCCAACGCAGAGCTCCGAGTCATAGGTGAGGCTCAGCGTCTCTGGCCCAGAGAGACACAAGCTATGATATGGAGGGCAACTGTGATGGCTACAGCTGTGTGATATTTTTTTAAAAAGTTTTAAAAAACTCAATGACATTTATGAATATAGCGACGGATTTAAACATCCGTCACTATACTCAGAAGTCCTTCATGGCACTAGCACTCTTCATCTATCAGCCAATCAGAGAAGATATCAGCATTTTATTCAAGAGTTGGAACGACAAGCCCCGCCTACTTGGGAGTGACTTGTGGCATTTTTGGGAAATTGTAGTTGACAATTTTAGAAATTCAACATGTTTGAATAACGCAACTTTCATGAACTGTGATGCTGTGAGAGTTCTAGTGGAGCCAGCTGCACACTGTCCAGAAAAAAACAGAACAAACCATCATCCTCCCACCACTTCCTGTCATCTCCTTCGGCATTTTCAGCAGTAGTAACGTCAGGACTCTTGTGATGCGACAAAAGTTTTTCCATTACAGTTTTGCAAACTATATCTATTTTCATACGACCAAAACAGCCATCTTATCCTAGCTCAAAACTTATTGAAAAACATGAGTCTGAGCAAAATTATTTTTGTAATTTCGATTTGTTCAATTTTATAGTTAATGGAAGCACAGCTAGTGTACGGCCATCCTGCAGCAAAGAAATTGTTTTACCAGAGATGCTATCAGTCTTTCCCTGGTCTGTATCTGCAGTTTGATTTGTCTCCCTCCCTGTACGCCATGCGATCAGAAGACATCCCACCTTTCTGACCACTAATTGAAAAGCATTAATTATAAGATGAATGTGTCTGACTGACAGTGACGTACATCAGATTTGTTCAGCTGAGAAGTCTTGGCCCATCTGCCTTGTCAAGATTGTCAGTCTTCAATCTCAGCCTCCGTTTCTCCTTCAACATATCACATCCAGATAATGTTCATGCAAAACTCTCTGTTCAAAGGAAAGAAGTGCTGATTGTTTGAGACGGTAGCATAGCTACAAATTGGACTTAAACAAAGGGGGTGAATCACATGCTCTCTAACAGAGAATAATACTAATAAACCAACATCAAACTTCACATCAGATGTCTGATTGCTAATTATGCAATCTCATTTCTTTGAATTACCCATGGTGGGAAATTTTGCTTTTTAATGAGCTCATTTTGAAAAAAAAAAAAAACTGCCTGTGGTGCAACATGTTTAATAAGAGATAAGTGGTCAGAGATAAATTAGACAAAAGAAAGTCTTCACAGAGATAGTTTAACAGACAATTGTTGTGATTCTCTTCTCTCAGCCGTTGCCCCGGATTTTTCCCACAATCAACTGAAGAGTCAGACGCTGGTGAAAGTGGGAGGAGACATCCTCATTGAGTGCAAGCCCAAGATGTCTCCTTGGGGCGTGATCTCATGGCGAAAGGGCAGCGAACCCCTGCAGGGGAGCAGCAGGTAAAACATTGTTTCATGTGGTTTGGTTGCGTCTGTCTCCTGCCAGAACTGCTGGATATTTCCCCTTGCTCACCATTAGTAAGGTTCAGATTCTTGAAGTACTCTGCTGGGTGTGTGGGTCTGTGTTTGAAGAAACTGAAGACGGCCTAACAAACGAACATGAAGCTGCTTAGGGTTGCAAGGAAAGTATTTCTATGCATTCAGTTCAACCGCTCGAGTTACCTTGTAGAATCACTTTTCTCCACAATGATAGATACAACTCTATAACATCAGTTCTCAGGTAACTCCACAGATTCTCAGTTGGATATAAATCTGTACTGGGTTGGTCAAACTGTTCACGATGCTTTGATTGAAGCTGTTCTGTGGAGTTTGGCAGATTGTCCATCTTGATGGTATAGATGCAGTTTTAAGCGTTTTGCTGCTTCTTACAGAATTTCCATCAGGAAGTGTCCATCTTGCTATCAAATACCATCGGTTTCTCCTGTCTCCTATACAGAAAACCATCTTCTGCAGGAAACTGTTGCTGCCACCATGTTTTACTGTGGGAATGATGAGCTTAGGTTGATAGGTTTTTGCTGTGACCCCAACATGGCTTATGACTTCTTAAGCCTTTGTTTCAACACTTTTCCACTCTTCTGATTGATGTGGTGCAGACTTGGTTAGTAGAGCACAGATCTAAGCTGTATATCTGTGCAGCTCCTCCAGGTTCAAGGCATCCATATGTGGGGCATACATTGTGTGGAAGTCAGTGTTGGGTCAAAGTGTGCACCTACCAGACACGTCTAAGCATAGGTACATCTGTACGACCATGCACTCAGAATGGGAAACAGTGCTCTGTATCTTTTATATGCGATACAGAGCTGATGAGGGCAAGTCGGCATAATCAACCCGACTGCCACTTTGCAGCAATGACATTTTTGCAGTGGAGAAGAAACAGTGCTAGATGTCCAACTAACTAAACAAAAGTGCATGTTTCCATTAGGATTATGAGAACTGAAGGAATTTGCCATGACAAATGTAGAAAATCAGTTCTTTCAGCTATGAAATCTCAACCGTCTGTGGTTGACATTTCAACCACTGACTGCTCGTCCACACTGATCGAAGAATATATAAAGTCTGTCCTTGTGTGTACTATGACTTCTTTTCAGATTAAAGGCTCTGCCATACTCGGGTCTACTTCACATCATGGAGGTCTGTGTGTATTCAAGGCAGAATCTAGGCAGAGTACTCCAAGCAGATGTCTGCCAGACATGTCTGTACATAGGCCAGTCTTTATGACCATGTACTCTGTCGCACTGTAAGCTTGCTTGCAGTAACAGTGTTCACATCAAACTATTTAGTATGCCACATCGAGGTGATAAGGTTATTAGTTTTAACCATCACTGAGTAAAATGTTGGAAATCATTTTACTCAACGATAAAATCTCAGCCATCTGTGAATAGCGAGACGCTTAATGTTGTGCATGTCCAGTTTGTGAGTTTAGGTAGACAGCCATATTTTGGTAGGTTTGGAGTTATCTCATACTTTTCGTATGTTAGGATGTTGTGTTGGACAGTGCAGTTTGAGATGTTCTAGCATCATACATTCGCTGGTCTTCACAATGCTTTGTTCATGGCTTCCTCTAACAACTAAACTTTGAAATTCAGTCCCAATCTCTACCAATTAGATCACTTCTGAATGTAATTATTTGCACTGTATTTTTTTGAAGGGTATAGTTTATAATATTCATTGTTTTCTCCACTACCTTGAATCCAAGACCTTGAATTTCTTTTTTGAAACCATCCCAGTGCAGCCTGCAGGTCAAATCCTGAGAAGTTTCTCAGTGCTACCTGGACGTACCGTCAATAAAAACTATAAAACAGAAGGAGGAAAATGTCAGTAATCATGGAGCCATAGCTGGAATGAATGTCTGGTAATGCAGCTGCTCATGGATCATATTGCTGGTATGAAGGGAACGGTGATACTAACTGAATACATCACTATCACTTTCTACACAGAATGCAGTCGAATGTCACACTTGTAGACTAGTAGGACAAACTGTCACACACTCTCCTGTATTACTGCAAAGAAGAAAAGTGCTGACCTGGAATTTTACGATCACAATGAGGAACGCAGCGTTTCCTCTCAATCTGGACTAGTTCGTTTCCTGTTGCACTCACAAAAGAGAAGTGATGTTCATCAGATCTTACTGATGTGCGATCAATATAACAGTCTTGTTCTGATCTCCACTAGGACTTTTGTGTGTATAGTTTGCTTGTTTTCTCCTTGCATGCATGAGTTTTCCCGACCACATTGAAGCTGGAGCTTTTTACTGCTTTGGAGAAACAACGAGATAGAAATACAACGTTTGTAAAATTAGCTACATAAGACGGGAGTTTTTCCAATAGAGAAGTTACTGTAGCAAAGTTATGAATGGGCTCTTTACTGATATGATGCTGTAATTGAAACCAGAAGTTTACATACACTGAATAAAAATACACATGCACTGTTTTTTTCTGTCTGAAGTAAAATCAGAGTTAAGTCTTGTTTTAGGCAAGTTAGAAAATAAGTTCTATCTGCTAAATACCATAATGATGAGAGAATATGTGAGAGATTTATTTATTAATGTCTTCAAAATCAGAAGTTTATAGGTGGTCTAATAAATGAAGCCAGTTCTTTTCTGTTTGCATAAGTTCTCATACACAGACTCTACGTTCCCTTCTCACTAAACTGTTTTGTGTTTTATAAAATTATTCTGGATCTTAAAATACCAATATTCTGATGACAGAGATATGAATTACTTTGCTGAGTTATTTTGATAAAAGTTTCCGAACCAGGATTTGAAGGTAAGTTAGAGAAACGGTGCAGGTGTGTTAAATTCATATACCCATGGTACATTTCAAAATGATTTAGTGAAATGTAACAAGATATATTATGAAATCAATATGAGGCTGAAATGCCAACGCAGCCAGGGAACAACAAAGCAATATTTTTTATCTGTTTCATCGCTACAGAAAAGCTGTGCTCAAGCATCGTGTTGTTGCTTTAGCAAACGGAGTTCTTTAATAGGAATGGTTTTAAATTTGTAACAGGACACCTTCCTTGAATTGCTGTGTGTTGCTTAAACTTAAGTTGGGGGTGTTTTCAAAGAGTTGAGCAGTGCATTTTGAAATGCAGGGAAATTCTTCATTGTATCTCCAGAGGGATTCCAAGGCACTCCTCACATGTGGTAGCAGCCGGCTGAGAGGAAGAGAACAGCGTGAGGCCTAACTGAGTAATGGATAATGGGATCCACTGTGTTTTATCAGCAGCTCTTTGGTGGGGGCCAAACAGACCAGCTGCTGAGTAAATTCAAAGTGCTAATCAAGTAGTTTTCACCTCAGTGGGGAGGGTGGAGGCTCCAGAAATCAAATGAGTCCACTCCTGACACGCCGCCAAGCTTCAGAGGAGCAGAGGGTGAGCCCACAGTCCGACCTTGCGTGACCTCGGAGATGTGATTGTCTGCTTCACGTAACGTTGGAGCGTGTCTCTCTGGGTGAAGTGTGAAGTCTGGCCCTGAAACGTCACTGCTGGCAGGAGGGGGTCACCCAGTGGGTGTCAGCACCCGAGCACGGCTTCGTTCCGACAGCAGGGCTGTGTGCTCAGCGTCTTGCCAAGGTTTTGCATATACACAAAGCAGTGTTGTTGCTTGTCAAACAAAAGTGGAAGGGGAATTTGCATAGTGGTTTCGCTCCTGGTGCCCTTCAGTTGCCCTGTGCCACTTCAATCACGCTGCACTCAGACCTTTTTGAATCTGTTGATTTGAGTTTATTGTTCAGAGTGATTTCAAATGTCTGGGGCTGGAGTGTTAAACAGCCGTCGCGACAGAGTGATTAACCAATCAGAGTTATTGGTAATGGTGCTTTGGTGGAATTTATTTTCATCAAATTCTTGCATTTTTTGTCTTCTATTAATGTACTGTTGGAAAAGTCTTAAAAAGCTGAGAATTAAATTTTACTCATAGCTGGATACTCAGAAAAAAAGGAAATATATTTGTAATTCTACATCTAATTCCCTGTTATGTTGTAGTAACAGCATCCATCCATCCATCCATCATCCATCCATCCATCCATCCATCCATCCATCCATCCATCCATCCATCCATCCATCCATCCATCCATCCATCCATCCATCCATCCATCCATCCATCCATCCATCCATCCATCCATCCATCTATCTATCTGTAATCGGCTTGTTGCCCTTAAATAAATGATTTGAGTGTCTGAGGCTGCTCCTAAATTAAAGAGAGAATCACAGCTTCACAATCACAACTCGACTCAGTCCACACTGGTTCATATTGAAATGATTTCTATCCCAGAGGCTGTAGCCAGCCAGGAATTAGGAAAGCCGTTTATGTAGCTTGAAAACACGTGTCAGCTCCTTTAAATGTGCTGATTGCGTCTCTCCTTGTCTCTCTTTCCTATTATCTGCTTCTCTGCTCATCCGCGACATATGCACACTCGAGCCACGCTGTTGTGCACATCACAAGGAAAAATGCTCAGCATCTGCTGCGGTAATCATTGGATCAATCTGCCTTTTAAACGCACTCTAAGTCCTGGATTTGGGTTCACTGTGGCGTTAAGTCATATCATGCTGTCTGAAACTGTGACATTACTTTTGCTTTTTGCATTTTGACTAATGGATGTGATTTACCAATTTTCTTGTTTTGTGTCATGGCAAAATTTTTGAAATGATGCACAAGAATCGAACCTTTATGAAATTCATCATGTCAAAATGAGGTGTTCATGAACTGGTTCTCCTTGGTTCATCTGAGTTATTGAACTGCTTTGAAAGGGTATTATGCAAAATTGATCAAATTGGCATTTGACCTCAATGCAAATTTACTTTCTAATCCAACACTTCTGTCTCTTTAAGAAAGTTCATGCACTTTCTGAAAACTCTACCTTCTGAAAGTCATCACAACATGGCTCCTCTATTAACCCTTTAACGTTTTTACCAGCGTTGCTCTGAGAAGTAGCTCC